CACATTCTACATTCTTTTCAAAGTCAATGCAAAAATTATAATGGCAAATCTCCACATAAACTAGTTGCATACAACAAAATTATATGGGGGATACTTACCGAAGCTGTAACACCACCAGCAATTGCCATGTTACGTTTATGCTTGTTGGTATGCTCATATCGAGCATATAACTTCCTTCCGACCCATACAGGAATACCTATGTAACAAAAACAATACATATGAATAGTATAAACAAACTCTGAATAATTTCTTTCATACAAAACTCTCCTTTTACTAAATGCTCTCCATTACTAACATGCAATTCAATTCTAAACTATTTACTAAACTACATTTTATATAGTAAATTTAGTCTAATTTATAACACTAATTGTTATCTTCCTTTCTTTAAATATATTTGTTCACATGTAGCTCAATTATAACATAGAAAAATTGAGTAAAAATATAATTCCATCTTTTATGACGTTTTCAATCCTGTAAAAAGGGCATTATTACCTCTAAAAATGCAACTGACAAAGCTAAGATAAAACGGCAAAGATGTTGTGTTCACAAATCATTAACACCTAGCATCCTGACCTCAACACTCCTTTTACACTGTGGTTTCCTGGTTATTTAAAATGGAATACTCTGGAGAACTGTAAAGACTGCTACTTTTTATAAAGTACATAAATGATATAGACAATTACAGAGGAGAGGTCAAATTCTTACTATTTGGAGGCAATGGTAACATTTTTAAGTTCTTTAAAGATTTTTGAGATGTAGCATTACTACAATGCTCAGTAAATAAACTTTCACAACTCCTTCCCTTAAATATAAAAAAATATAAATTTATAAGTTTCCCTGGATCTCAGTTAATCCACAATCAATTATCAATTATATATTGATTGTATTTATCGATGTGATTATATATAGTGTCAATGATATTAAACTTTAAAGCATGAATAGCACAAAAGAACTGGGGGTAATTTTTTTATTTGAAGAGGACATTTATCAATCACATTGATTATATAACTGGCAAAGCAAACCAATTATTAGGTTTTGTTAGGTGAAACATTAGCTCATTTCAAACAATACACACACTTAGAATTCTTTTATTATGTTAGTTAAGTCAATACTTATGTCCTCATAATTTCAACCACACATTAAAAAACTAGAAACTGTTCAACACAGATTTTTAGAATAGCAGCAAGATGGCTTCGTCTCCAAGACCCAATTATACATCATCACTACGGTCATATCTTCCTTCGCTCAAGTCTTCTAGAGATCTCTCAGATATATTTTTATATATAAATTGATAAACAATCAAATAGACTGTCCTTTGCTGCAATAATAATTGAATTTTAAAGTTCCTACTGCATCACTTAGAAAATGTACACTTTCAGAATTAATAAATACAATAACACCAAATAACCCTAACAGGCTAGGTACAACAATAGACAAACTCCCTGTTGATGTAAAGCAAGTGTCTCCTTGCAACTTTGACACCAAAGCTAGAGCACTGCTGTTGCGCTGTTATTAATGTTATTACAGAATGTGTAATTCATTTCTCTGTTAATTTGTATATAAATAGTAAATCGAGGACCTTAAAAGCCTAATAATAAATAAATAAATAGAAAAATAAATAAACTACACTTCCAAATGCAATTTATCTTCTGTGGGCAGAGCCAATGAAATAGTATGTGCATGACCACTAAATTGGTTGCACGTACACTATATACTCCGCCAGCCGCTAACAAGTTCCCACAGAGGGGAAGAAGTGGTTAGAGAACACAACGAGAAAGCTCCGATACAAGTAAAACAAAGGTGTTTTATTCGAGAAATATTTATGGAAATCATCCGTTTTCACCTTAAACATAAAACAAACACTTGCCAAAAGAGCACCCCTTGACTTCACTGATTTAAGTAATTTGACAATATGACATTTTGCAGGAAGATTCTGAATCGTCAATATATCCATCATTGTTCCGCTTATTCTACTATAGTTCAAAATCACTGAAAGAGATCTCTTAGTAGAAGTCAATCAACAAATAATGCTTAGCCACTGGCCATGGAGTGAGATAGCTACTCAAAAGAGAGAACTTTCACGCATGTCTTAGAAAATAGATAAAAATTAATTGGTTCTCAGAAAAATTGCCATGAATGTAGGTGAACACTTAATTGAGGTAGCCAATTCAGTTTCGCTGTAAACCAAAACAAATAATTTGCTCTTTGTTTAAAACTGATATTTTTGTTTGTCTTGCTTTACAATGAATATCTGTAGTTGTTTTACAACTACAGTTTTTCAAATTTATTGTTAGGCCATATACACTGAAGAAGCAAGTAAAAGTTTGGTGAAAGAGTTTTGTGGTGGAAGTTGTTATACAAGTCATGTATAACACTCAAGAGATGGAAGCAAAGATGCATCTTCAAAAGTGTTGATTCCTGGTACAGCAATAAAAGTTTGTACCAAATTTAAGCGAGGAAGTTGGGAGTGAATGCTGATGGGCTTTGCCCATTTGTCATAGGAAAGTCCCAAGAAATCTCGATACTTTAAGAATGTGAAAACATTGCCCACAAAATACACGGCCAATAAGAAAGCTTGGATGACTTCTGACCTTTTTGAGCTCATACAAAGAAAATGAACTTAAGAAATATTAGAATTGAATTCTTGCCAGCAAACTGCACAAGCAAGTTACAGCCAATGGATTTAAGAATAATCCATGCTTTTAAGACCTACTACAAAAAGAAATGTGCAGAGATTTTATTACATGTGCAAAAGAGTTTTACACTTTCCAGCAATTTACACAATTTTTTAAGGTGCCTTGAAAAGAGTAAAAGACTGGTTCTACTGTAATACTAAAGCAATTTGTCACTGGCTCCAAAATGAAATAAAAATAAATCTTTACCAGATATAAATTAAGAATAACCTAACAGTACAAAATATACGCATTTTGAATACAATTTTTACTCTGATGCATGAAACATACATTCAGTACTTTGTTATTGTCTGCTTCTAAATGCTACAGTGATGCTTATTGCTAATTCCCATGGCCCATGCCCATGCCCAAAATAATGATTTCATTAATTTCTCAAAAACAACCTATCTTGCTTTTTGTTTCCTCTGCTTAATTTTCTTTACTTTAAAATCAGCATTTTTTAAAATAAACTCTTTATTACATTTATTTAAAAAAATTAAATTTATGTCATCTTATATTACAGTATTGAGTGGATAGATTATTCTTCTAAAGATAAAAATGCACAACTTTTGGATAAACTTTATAATCATTACCTATGATCATTGCTGGGACAGCTATACCTGCAACAAGTCCGATTCCAACAGGAGCTCCAACTAAAGTGCCCAATTGCCAAAGAATTTTCTTTTTTCTCGACCAAGGTTTTTTCCCCCAGAAGGTACAGCCAGATGGACTGAAAAAAACAACACCAGAGTTAGTGAAAATAAATTATAAAATCATCACAGTTTGCGATAACAAAATACAGAAACCACAATGGAGAGCGGTTCAAACACAAACTAGTGGTTCTATAGAGTGGCACAGACTTTCATGCACTAGTTAGTTTTCTAATCTCTTTAGTCTAGGCTAGCCTTTTGGTAGTGCCCCACCCTCGTTCCAGTTGGTAACCATCAGTGCAACACAAAATTTTTTCACATTTTCTCAATTATTTGATTTTCTTATCGTAGAACTGAATGTCTTTTAAACAATATTACAGAAGAGAAAAACACATTCCTCTATGCAAATTTTCAATGAAAAAGCTGAGCCATTCTCGAGTACTAACAAATGTAATAATGTACAGAAAATTACTGTACTATAAATATTAACAATATGAGAGATACTAAAAAACATTGTGTAGTTTTTGAAAAGTCAAAAGAATATATCAAAACGGGGTATATGTCATCTAATTCAGCGTATTTGTCACTATCCATACAAAAAGTTTTAAGAAAAAATTTGGGGCCATTTTTAAGAAATTGTCATAAATGCATTTCTGAAAATTTTTCATTTTCACATTCATCTACAAGTAGCAAAATCATTAGAACTCAGCTGTGTATGTCCCTTCAGCTTTGGTGTGAATCAACCATCATTTGCTTTACACCGGCTTCTCCCTAACCACATGCTTATAGGAGCTAAGTACTGTTTTAGATAACAATTTGAACTAGAGCAATTCAAGAATATACCCTGGCTAAGAGCATAAAATGCTTTTGTGATCACGGCTAAGTTGACATCTGGCAATCAAAAATGAAAAAAACTTGCTTATATGTTTTGTTTAGGATGTCTAAGTCTTTTGAAGAAATAAAATTTGCAAATTATTGCAAAAGAAGAAAATTGAAGTTGATCAGAAATACGCATCTTCAAATGAGGATGCTGAGCGTTAATGGGTTAACACATTTATCTATCTATTTATCTGATGTGTTTGTTAATGATAAAGATAATATGCAGATACATTGTTTATTAGATCCGCAAGTCATTTCTGCTGTAAGAATAAAAATTACTTTTGACAATCAAATATTACTTCTTTTTGAAGACAGAGATTTTAGTGATGAATATTCCAGATACTAGAAATGTTAGCTGTGAGAAAGTAAAGAATACAACATTTGTACTAATAATATAATGAACAGCGTCCAGCAAAATCTGTTTGTTGATGTAAGTTACAGAAATACCTTAGCCAGATAAGGGTTAAATGCTAGAAATTACTTTCACAAAAAATACAACTGATTTACCTTAGGTAGTGGAGATCACTGATCTCCTTCATACACAACCAACAAAACTCAGCCCCACACACAGCACAGGTCATATGATTGCAAGACCCGTCATCCATTTTCACTATCAACACTTGACAGCGGGGACATGGCTTAATGTCATCTCCTGTAACATACAGAACACTCTTTTCTATTAGTAAAAACAAATGAATTGATTATCAAAAGAAGGATTATTTACATCTCCTTTAACACTACCACTGCTGAATATAGCGCAAAATTCTATAAGAAAATACGAGACAAAAAGTTTGTTAATACAAACATGCTTCAAGTATTAATATAAACCAGAAGACATTAAGTTTCATAATAGTTCATAACAGAATTAATAATTTCACTCCCTCAATCTTGGTAAATTTAAATTTGAAACAAAACAGAAGGTTTGAATTCCAAGTGGGTTGATAACAGTCCAGATACATAGCAAGTGAAACTACTTACTATGCTGTGAATCCTGACTAAAGCTCACAGACGATGATCGAACATTCGGCGATCTCTGGGCCCGAGCAGTGTCACATGTCTGGTTTGGGTGCCACTCTGCTTTGCAATGATAGCAGAAGAAAGAATCACATCCTGGCCTCTCACATTTTATTTTTGGGCAGCTAGCACAACCAGCTGCTATCACAGCATAACTATGTAAGAAAAGAGAAAAACAACAATGTATGTTAGAATCATTGGTAGGCAGAAAGATGATGAAGACAGAAAAACTATGTTTGCCAAACTGCATTTCCCTCATGTGTGCATGTAGAAAATTTAATGGTTTTTACATTCATAAAACTCAATGTTAAACAAAAAATTTTTACATTTATTGGGTTTAATGTTGTACCTGATAGGATATCAACATCTCATACCCTCAGATCTATTACTGCCCTTTAATACCCTGATGCACATACATCAGCTTCCAACTCTTTCACACTATCAAGATACATAGACCCACAGTGGCTCTGTACATACACAGTTGCCTGCATCTCACAGGCCTGTAGCAATAGTTTAAACTGATCAATGGGAGGAGAAGGAAATTGTTTAGAACAATTTTGATATTTGCCTTAAAAACAAACAAACAAAAAAACACCTCTAAGGAAATTTGACTATTCCTCTTTACTGAATGTTTCTAATGGTTTATTTATATATTTTCATTCCTAACTTTTGATGTCATTAAAAGAACTCTTTGGTATATTTATTTTCTTTCTTATTCTTATATAAACCACATGTGGACTAATCACTTAATTTAACTGTAGGGTATCTTGAGAACTGACCTACAGTCTGGAGCAGGGCACCAGCGTGTATCAGGATCGACAGCCAAAACCCTTCGCACCATAAAATCTTCATATTTTTCATATTGAGACTTATCATTTAAAATCATTCGGATATCTGCAAATATAGGTAAGTTTATACATAAGGTATCAAATGTTAGCAAACCAGTAATGTAATGTTATAGCAAAAATAAACAGAATACCATTAGGATGAATGGCCTCCGAACATTCTGGGCAAGAGATTCCAACCCGAGACTCTGAAATTTCTATTCGAAGATATGTTTGGAAGCAATCATAACAGGAACGATGGTGGCATGTAGAAAGCTCTGGGAAATATTCGTTGGGTAGTTCAGTCAAACATAGTGGACATTCTGAGATACCAGTATCTGAACTCTGTAAAAAAAGACACATGTTAAATATGTATTCTGGTATATACATTAACACTTTCATCTCAAGAATTTGATCTCATAATCAATAATGTATCTGTACTGTAATAAGTTAACAGTTGTAAACGCCAAGAATGCTAGTTTGAGTGCTGAATTTCTAAAGAAATCATTCTTGCAGGAGAGGTGAATTAATAAACAACAAGTAGTTAGAAATGAATAATAGATACAATTTAAAAAAATGGCATGTACAAAAATCTGTTGAATTAACATTAACTAAGTTTTCCGATAATTTGTTAATGGGGAGATAAATAGAATAACAAATCATGATGAGTTTAATACTAGAATGCAGGATTGTGATCCTACTTTTTTACCCAACGAGTGTGTTGCTTCAGTGCCCCAGTACATTCAACTGGTAGCAGTGAAGATAAGTGAATATTCTGACATTTTACTGATTTATATTACAGCCTTAATCTGCTTGATAATTTCCATTATGAACAAATACTCATATTTCAATAAAATATTTAATATTCAAGGATAAAAATATGCAAAGCAAAAGAAGTGTTTGATGTTATACACAATGCTCTGAAAAGATAATACTTAAACAATCAGCTGAAAAGGTTTAAAGAGAACTGGCTGAAATATTTTCTCTACAGAAAACCCAATTCTGTTACGTCCACTTACTATCAGCTTGCACTTTCTATTCATTGTTATAGTTTTCTTCTTAAATGTAATTCAGAATCTCTCACATGAGCCGATGAATCTCAGCTCAAAAAGAGAGAAAACTATATCAAGTTAAAAGCAATTATGTACCACAAAATGGGTTGCACTTTTGGAATCAGAAATTAAAGTGGGGTGATAAATGAAATGAGAAGAATCATAGACTCTCACAAGAAGTGGAATTGGAATAACAGACATATTGAAACATGCAAAACTATGGTACAGCTGCAAGGCAAACTGTCATGATTGTGTCAAAATATCACCCATGGATGTAAAAAAATTCTTATTTTCAATGAGATTTCAACTAAATGTGAAGAATATTTGTAAAAGATTAGGATGTTTTAAGCAAGCACTAAAATTGAATGAAACGTCAAGTTGAATGACACCCTTAGTCATTCTACAGAAATACTCAACCAAATGTGTCTCCTCACAATGTGTACAGTTCGTCCACTAATTTGCTTCTTTGTAATTGAAATATTGAAATGATATTGGTTTTAATCAATCTATTCCTCCATTAGGAACTGAAGTTGAAGTTGAAGAAGGAGCAGGAGGAGGAGGAGAAGAAGAGAAAGAAGGGGAAGGAGAAGAGAAAGAAGGGGAAGGAGAAGAAAAAGAAGGGGAAGGAGAAGGAGAAGAAGGGGAAGGAGAAGGAGAAGAAGGGGAAAGAGAAGAAGAAGAAGAACAGGAAGGAGAAGAAGAAGAAGAGGAAGGAGAAGAAGAGAAAGAATAAGGGGAAGGAGGAGAAGAAGAAGAGAAAGAAGGGGAGAAGGAGGAGAAGAAGAAGAGAAAGAAGGGGAGAAGCAGGAGAAGAAGAAGAAGAAGAAGAAGAAGAAGGAGAAGGAGGAGAAGGAGGAGGAGGAGGAGAAGAAGAAGAAGAAGAAGAAGAAGAAGGAGGAGGAGAAGGAGAAGCAGGAGAGGAAAAAGAAGGAGAAGCAGAAGAGGAAGAAAAAGAAGAAGAAGAAAGAGAAGAAGATGAAAAAGAAGAACAAAAAGGAGAAGAAGAATTAAGTACCTTAAATTATTGTTATTCTTCACTTTATTAAAAAATTACTAACATACATTCCAATTTTCTGACTTATCCATTACCTTGCCTGCACCTGTGGTGAGTACAGATGCCTTACTAGTAGTTCTCTTTAGATCATTGCTTGGAGACGCAACTGCAGCTACAGCACCTACTCGCACAGCTTCACCTTTTTCTAAATCTCTAGACGGTCCGCTACGAGCTTCTTGACCTGCAAATAGTACGAATAACTGATAAGTGTTCCAATAATAACAACTTAAGTACTATAGAACACATTATGTATTTTATGATTATACGATTATATATTTTTAATATTTAATTGTCTAGTAATTAAATTATATCTTTATATGGCTAAGCAGCAGCCTCTGGCACAGTTTTTTTGTGACAGCTACTTTTAAAATCTGATTTTAACATTCCCTTTGACCTGGCATAAAAACCATTACTTTATATGTAGCGATTTTATTTAAGAAAATTGTAAGTAATATCATGCTGAAACACCAACAGGAAATACTGTGCAGGTTCATTAATGTTTTGACATGCTCAGATCAGTTAATCTTGTGTCAGTAAATGAGGTGTCTATGAGCTTGTAAATACGATGATATATGGTGATATATTTCCTTCCTGCACGTTTAGAAGTATACTATGTAATCTATGTTTTGGTGTTTTGTATTTTCACTATGCCAAGAACATGCATAAATCATGCACATAATTTCTGCGGAATTTGTGGTGAGCAAATTTGAAAGACTCAAAAGGCAGAATTTAACACCACTTGCAAAAAAATGTACTTTATAGCATTACTTTGGCCATCGATTTTGTAAATAGCTGGGCTCCAAATAAATGTTTTAAGAGTTAAGACTGTTGTCTTGATATAGAAATGGTACATATCATATTCATATGATATTTGCAATTCCTATGATTTGGAAGGAATCAAAGGATCATCTAAGTGATTGATATTTCTGTTTGAGAAATATTAAAGGAATCTTGCATCCCTGACAAGGGAATTGTGTCACATATTCATTTATTGAATACTGAAAAATATATTTACCTCCATTGCATATTAAATTAGAAGGAATGATAATTTCGTAAAAGCTAAGGAGAAACTTTGATGGATTCTTGTAATTGAATCGAAATTTCCCAAAGTAAGTAATGCTAAATTGAAAGAAGGGATTTTAAAAAATCACAAATACAGACTTAATATCTGATAAATATTTTGAAGAATCCACTGGGAAAAGTAGTCTGATAGTCTTTCAAAAATTTATATAGCAATTTCCTTGGAAACTATAAAGCAGGAAACATTGTCGCTGATCTTCTGCATTCTTATAAAGCTATGGAATTGAACATGACTTTGAAAATTCACATCTTAGATTCTGATTTAAGACTTTCAGAAAATCTTGGAGCTGTCTGCGATGATCATTGAGCATATTCATCAGGAAATTTCTACAATGAAAAACCTACTAGGGCAAGTGTAGTTCTGTTGGCTGACTACTGATGGACCAAGAAGAAAGTTGTTCCAGACAGAGAATGTGCCCAAAAATCATCATACCACTTTCTAGGTACAGAATGAAGAGTCAGAATGTACGACAGGATGAGTAGTATACCATTTAGTGTTGGAAAGCTTGTTACTGATTATTATGAAACATTATAAAAAGTTCAAATGCACATCACACAAAACTCCTGCCTGATGGGTAAAAATAGAAATTGTATTTCAATTCAGTATGAAAAATACTTATAGACTCTTATTTTCATTCTTGTGAAAGAAAAAAAAGTTTATTTTTGAAGACCAGTGTTATAGATAAAAATACACTGGGATTCATTCAGCTTTCTCGTTCAACATCTACTTTTCTATATCCTTTGGATTACCCAATAAACACATTATTACAATGTTCTCTGAATTGCACTTCAAATCAGAATTATGATTAGTCATGTACTACGTATTATTAATGTTTATAAAATTATAAAGTTTATATATAAAGATTAAGTGTTTATAAACAATCAACTTAAATAAGTTTTTATTGATAATAGCTTATATAGTGTTAAACTAAATTAACAACATATACAACATTTTCAAGCTCAATTACGAAAAATCTTTTGAAATAACATTATTTTTTTTCTGAGTATCCTAAAGGTACACACATTCTTTGTATTGATAGGTTGGGCATTCCCTGGAGAAGTTCATGTTTTAGGATAAAACGTAACCTTCATTTCGCGACTTACCGCCAAGTTTGGAGGCCCTTGAGGTGTTGGAGGGAGCCCTGGTTATTCTCCGAGCGATCAACGGGCTGGAGTAAAGCAGTCTTCTCAGCGAGAATCTGGCCAGACCCCGCTTCCGCGGGTTGGCGGCAGAGCAGGTGGAATGACTGTCCGTGTCGTGAGATTTCCGCATTATGTCCGTATGGAATGACAATTCGATATCTAGAAAGCTGCTAGCACCCTCCTACAACCCTCAGGGCAATATCTGCAACACACAATAAAGGAAGAATGAATTTTCTGAAGCTGTCAGCAGGCAACCTGCAAGATATCAGTGTTACATGAAGTCAAAACTTTTGAATCATGATGAATCAAAGTAAATAACACGTCATTGTTGAATAGGAGTAGGGATGGGAATGTGAGTGGAATACCATGTGAGCATTTTTCAAAATCACGTGCGTAATGGGTGTATGCACGCACAATAATTTTGATAAAAAATTTGATTTTATCGTTGGTTATGGAAAGGGTTGTGTTTGGAATATAAAGAATGGAAATAACAGTGGTAGTAATAGTATGAAGGAATTAAAACGGTTAACAGGTTCGAGGCCGAAGGGGGAGGGAGTAAGGGCGAGGCGTAAGTGTGTGCGAGTGTTATGGGGAGTGTGTGTGTGTGTGTGTTTGCGCGTATGAGAGCGAGTGTGTGTGTAAGTGCGCGCGCGCGTATGAGAGCTTGCGCGTGTGTGAGGGCGACTGTGTGTGTGAAGGCGAGTGTGAGAGAGGGCGAGTGTGAGAGGGGGCGAGTGTGAGAGGGGGCGAGTGTGTGAGAGGACGAGTGTGTGAGAGAGGACGAGTGTGTGAGAGAGGGCGAGTGTGTGAGAGAGGGCGAGTGTGTGTGAGGGCGTGTGTGTGTGAGGGCGAGTGTGTGTGAGGGCGAGTGTGTGTGAGGGCGAGTGTGTGTGAGGGCGAGTGTGTGAGAGCGAGAGTGAGTGCAACCGTGCTAAGGTGAGTGCGTTGAAACGAGTGTAAAAGTGAGCGAGTGTGGTTGAGGCCAGTAATGATTAAGCTGGTGGTTACAGGCGTCCTGGGGTAATCAGTGGGATCTGGCGCCGCGCCGCCGCTTACGGGCGCGGAGGAGCTGATGCTGGTGCTACTGCTGCGGACGCCGCTGTCCCACTTTTCGCGGCCCCGTTTAGAGCCATGCGCGCGCGTCCTGCACCGCGCCGCGTCGCTCGCGAGCTCCGCACGCCACGGGGGGCGGTCTTCGGGATTCGGAATGTGGAGCCCGCACGGGTAAGGGACGAGACATTTCGAATACCCCTTCTTCCCTCTATAACGCTCAGTTCCGAATAGCTTCTTCGTGGTCTAAAAGTTACCACACCATTGACGAAAACATTTGTTTGTGATTGTTGTAAACATCATAACTTATTAATTCATTTATCATTTTTGATGTAGTTTGTTAAAATTATGTTTTATTGTATGTCTGAATAAAGGGAATTATCTGAGCAACTATTGAAGACAGAAAGAAAAAAAAAGAAAAAAACTATCTGCAAACGTGACACTAAACTAACCTCCGTTCTCCAATGTAACACAGCGCAACGTCTCCTCAAACCCCTCCCTATTCTTTAGTGTTACATAATTTATAGACAAGCCTTAAAGGATTTTTGTGCCGATCCTAGGCGCCCTAGACCCAACTGAGAGTCCCTTTCTGTTGCAAAATCAGTTACATTTCGTAGCTTAGTTGTGGGCAGCAGCTCCATCTGCACTCTTTATTTTACTAGTGGGTTTGAGTCTCCCATTTGGCAACCGGGGTTTCGTCATTCTCTCTTTCTTCCTCTTTCACACATTATGGCGCACGGCCTCTTCGACAGGCATCAGGATGTACCTCTCAACGAAACCATTTCATCTGCAAAGTCCTTTTGCTTACTAATCTGGATAGGATGCTTTCCTCGCTAGAAGCTACCGGCTCTAGTGGTTGGTTAAAGTTGCAATCTTGCCGTGGTCGGGACAAGACCCTACTCAATTCCCCCAGAGAGGTATCACTGCCATGGGGAGTCCAAACCCATTTCCTTCCAACAGTAAAAAGCAACCTTTTATCCACTTCCAGCACTCGGTGTTAAAAGTTCGCTAGATTCCGTGAATCACCAGAATAAATTACATACCAAAATGTTTTAGACGGCATTTACAATAAGATACCTTGTATTTTGCTGACAAACTAGCTCCATTAAAGAGCTACACCTTTTCATGTCATTTACGAAAGTAATCAAGGACGGCATACACCTCAGATATAAGATCGAGTTTGTCTAAAATTTAATTTTCTTTATTGTCACTGGAACCACATAAAGGGCAGGCAGCTCAAGAAGAAGAAGAAGAAGAAGAAGAAGAAGAAGAAGAAGAAGAAGAAGAAGAAGAAGAAGAAGAAGCGCGACATCTATCAATCTGCACCGTCCGGAGCCCCTGCCTGTAGGGGCAGCGCCCTTGGACAAGCGAAACGCAGCGCTGCGCGGCGGGAAGCCTACATTAACTACGGCATATTCCGCAATAAAAATAAAACCAATGTTTTTAGAAGAATCGGGCCTTCGAGAGATAAATGCATAGGATTTACACATAGTTGAGAGCCCGCTACTGGAAAGTTAATAAGGGAGAAACGAATCATGCACAACAAGGCAGTTTGCAGCGGAAGGCATGCTTTATGTTCCGATCGAATGTTTATATCACTTGTTTAAACTACTGGGATTCAACAACTGCACATAATTTCGTGCGTTGTTTATTATACATTGTACACTTTTCGAAAATTAAGAGAGTTCAACAAAAGAAAAGACATGCAGCATTTTTTGAGTGTTCTTTGCTCTATCCGCGGAAACAACATAAAGAAGAAAAAATGCAGAAATTACGCAAACATTACCCTTTAAAAAAAATTACACAATCAAATTGGAGCAGTTTTTGAGAAAATCATTGTTTAAAAATTGCATATATTTCACGCAAAATTACGAGAAAACTTCTCACATTTTCAAAAAATTGTACATGGCATTATTTCAATATTTATCTTTGAACAGATTTCATTACGAAAAAATATCTTCAATAGGTACTGTAGTTGTAGGAAGACCCCGAAAAAATTGTGAACTTTTGCAATTTCAAAATTTTAGATACTTCAATTAAAACGTGATCTATGCCATTTTTTAGTTTTCGCTTTCAAGCTTTTGCATATTTAGGCTATTTGAAGAAAATGTTTACTCAAAAAATTTGGAACCAATTTTTGAGAAATTTTAAGGTTTCATTTAAAATACCCTCCAACATCAAACTATCACTTTCGGACTAGCAAGGTTTCAAGTTCCTTCAGGATGATCGGGGAATACACACACACACACACACACACACACACACACACACACACACACACACAATTCGTCGTAATATTGTAGGCGAAAGCATTGACCACGGACGGAGACAGATTGGTACGCAGTATGACTGGCAGACAGACAAAACTGACATGGCAGGCAGCCTGACAAACGTTTTGCCATCAATCGATTCTTGGGTATCAAAGTCTCACAAATCGCGGATTCTGACTATATAACGCCGTCAAGACAATAATTTACTGTATTTCAGAAGATTTATTACCTTTATTTTAACTGTGCCCTACAATACGAGTTTTGCTGTAGAAAAATCGATTTCCGCACGCAGCTGCAGAATTACAATACTTTCTCGTAAACGTGGTAAGGTGAGAAAGTAAACTGAACGAAGAAGCGGATGCCATTGCAATGTTTCATTAATCTTCCACAGGCGCCAACAAATTTGTTACACTGTAATTTCTAATTAAATTCTATTCATTTAAGTCTCGTTGTTCCTTCCGCTGCAGGAAATTTGGTGATCACGTCACATATATAAAGCTACATTCCATACTAGACAAATTATGTTCATCTCGGCGAACAGTAAAATAAGTAAGTTTTGGTATGGAGAAGATTGTTAAGAGATATTCCTTACTTATTACCAGGGAACGGAATTCTCCGTAAATACATAATTACTAAATAAGCTAATATCGATACTAATTTGTCTTACCTTTACTTTTCACATTATGTAGAGTTGAAAAATGCTACTTTTATTTTCCATATTTTACCATATTTTGGGTTTTGGTACATATTTGAATACAAGTCATATATTCCACATTGCTTATAAAATCAGACCATATAGCACATTAAGTTTAACAGTGAACTTTCATTAAATATTAAAAATGCATCTCAACAAAAAGAGATTAACAATTTTCAGTAATTCCTTAAACATTAGCTTTTTGAAAATTAGGGAGTACTGACAATAGGAAAGCAAGTTAAGAAACTGTTAATGTTTTAATTTATGTGAAAAATAGATCCACTCTCCAGCCCTGTCTGCGGGGTCTGTGTCCCGCGAGATGAAGGGAGAGGGGGGGGGCGCTAGAAGGCGAAGAACCATTGGATTTGAGTTTCATTGTCCCCCCCCCTCCTCCTTCCCTTTGAGGTTGCCACCCGGAAATCGCATGACGTCATTGAGATTTCGATACCAAAATTCAACTAACACAGCCCCTCATTGTCAGTTACAATCCACTCCCAATATGTGGATTGTTTAGTTCTCATAATGGCTCTATTAAGCCAGTGTAAAATGTCAAAGCTTGCACAACCAGCCAGTGTAAAATTAGAAGTTAACTTTCAGAATTTACATATGAAGATTTATCAACTGACAATATTATTTTACCTTAGTTGTTTATCATATTAAGTCCATATTTAACCCCA